CAGATACAATATTATTCCATATTTAAACATTTGAACATTTACTACAAATATATTTTTTTAATAAAAATCTGTTTACTTCTCATACCTGTCTCTTCAAAATGTTCAAAAAGTGCAACTGAAAGATCTAAATTTTAAATCAAGAAATGTAAGGAATTATTTTAACGTTCTGAATTTTAAAAGGAAGAAATCGGAACACTTTTATAAATTGTTGGAACACTGTTGGTTCTAAAAGATAAAGATGGTGTCCATGACTGTAATTTCAAAGTATAATACCATCAACTGTGGTCGGTTTGCCTATTCGCTAAAAAATTTTGGGCAGCAAAGAGCAATTACTTGTTGGTTTTTTAGTGCTCTTTAAATAATCTGGCTAATATTTGTAATACCGGGAAGATTGAGTTCGAAACGTTTCTATTTAGCAGTAGTTTATCAATGTGAAAATAATTGGTTTGTAAAGTCACTGTTGTGCACGCGAATCGAGCAGCTTTTTAGTTACTTTAAGTAATACTCACATTAATAGTTGTTTAGTTATCTATATTATTTTGTTTTTGTTACTTGTAATAGCCATTGGAAGAATGTGATCTTGAAATTTTTATATTTCAACTAACATATAATTTTCCTGTTGGGAAATGTTTACCTATGATTTATCAAAAAATTGGAGATATCATGCAGTTTCCTATTAACTGTTACAGATTCTCAAAACGGCTAATGTGCGGCACGGACTTAAGGTCTGGTTTCTTAGGACATGACGCCGTCAGCTGGAAATCAGCGCTAACCTCTGATTGGTCCATTTGTGAGTTTGATAGTATACGTCATCGAACGCTCATCTTGAACTACAATTGCCGTCCAGCTCAACTGCAGTTGAATTACAACGTGACGTTATCCACAGAAGCAATGGCGGACAACATCCAACAGCACATTGAAATCAGCCAAGATTTTGATTTTGACATTAAACATATCTTCTTCATTAAACATAGCACTATTCATTTAACTCAGCTATAATGTGTTTTTTCTAGGACAAAGTCATTATTTGTTCTCTAAGACACTGGTCGACAATAACAAAATCAATACAAATTCAAAATAAATATTTGTTTACGTTATTAACGCATGCGCAATGAGAGATAATGTCTGCGTTGGACCGACTGCTCACGCTGAGCTAACAAAAAAGTATTTTTTTGGCGTCAGCTCTACGTCAACTATCCGCTGACGCTCAGATAAGGCGCTTATCCTAAGAAACCAGACCTTAAGGAAGCCACTTAATTTCCTGCAGATGAGTACATATTATAACTGAGAGGGCTAACCTGTCAATCTCATGACCGACAGAAGCGAGGGTTCGAGTCTCAGCGTTCTCTCTTCAATATTTTCTCCATTCCCTTCAATGCATGACGCTGGACAATTAGAATATGATACTTTCGTTCACGTTTAGGTGGCAGCATCATAAAGCTGCTTCACACAAAAAAGATTGGTGAAATAACCAGTTAAACTAATTAAACCACGTTCCATTGCTCATTTGATAAAACACAACTCAACCACAAATTAATTACTCATTACCTAACGAAAAACTTAACTCCAATGTCCAGTCAAAGAAATATTTACGTTTTCTTAACCATACTAGTTGTAAACGGTTTTGAAACCATAAAGGTAAAAAATGTTATTTTACCTTCATTTTAGAATGAAAATTCTAACAGTGTAGTTCAACGCAATTGCCAAACCAAGGCACTACCTTCATCTAAAAGCAAATAGACTAGTCTGTTACTATGGTGATCGCCACCAACAAGTCTAGAGTCTTGATCTCGTGATTGTCAGGCAATAGACAGGTTGCAATAAATAAATAAAAAACACATCTCATTTATGCACGAGCGCATCTTTTGATGCACATTTTGAGATAGAGATTAATTCTGATAAATTTCTTCAATATTTTTTTCGCTTGTTATTGTTTCGGTGACATTAAGTGGCCGACAAAGTAAACTCGACTTTCTGCCTTCTGACATCTTTTTCTAAGGGTCATTAGAACATAAAATTTTATGTAAACAAAACTACCATCACCCAAAATCTTTAAAAATATATTAAACGCTGTGTCACTCACTCTGAGAAAAAGACTATGGTCAAAACTATTAAAATGTGGTAAAATCTACAGTGCTTCTGGTTCAAAGGGCACACCGAAGCATTTTTACCGAAGCGCTTTAGCGATGATTTTAGTAAAATTGGCAATAAAATATGACTTTATAATATGAGATAAAATTTGGTGAATTTAGGGACTTTTCTCACGATACCTCAGAGTATGGTATAAAAACTGTTTATTAACTTAAATTTAATCTGCAGTTTTGAAAGTTTTACTTATTATGTGGTAATACATGGGTGAAAGCGAAACGGAGAAGAGGAAAAGCTGGTAGTAAAACCATTTCAGTTTTAACTAGTTTTCGGGAGGAGTAAATCTATTCTCTTCTTCAAACTATTCAACAATATATATATATTTTTGGAAGTTACAGAAATTGAATGTGTCTCGAAAAAAATGCTGGAATGAAATGGAGTTTTTGCTCTTTTCCGTCCTGGTATATATGGGCCTTCAGTCCTGCGGTAATAAGAACTATAATTTTGAAAATCAGAATTTATGGTAATCCATTACCATATGTACGAAAGAATTACCAAATGAATGGTTTAAATACAGTATATTTTGGTTTTATTATCCAGAATTATGTTGTTGTTGTTGTTGTTTTCTTTACCAAAAATACATTCCAATAACAAAACTTACGAAGCATCCTATTTTTAAAGAATGAAATTCATGAAAATAGAGATTTTTAAGTGAAAGTTGTTTAACAAATGGAAATATTCCAGCAACTGAAATCTATTCGGTCTGAAATCTATACATTTACCAGAACTGTTAAATGTCATGCGTTGTTTTTTTAAATAATTGCAATTATCAAGGAGTTATTAAAAAAATTAACCATACTATCATTAAATATAAGACAAATATTGAATCCTTGAATATCATAGAATTTCGAATCAAATATTTTTTAAGATGAACTAAAATAAATATATGTTATATCAAAAAAAATTGTCTGGAATGTTGAGGCTGTTAAATTTTTTTTTGTATTTTGATTAATTATCGGTTATTTCTTAGCGTAATTTAAATGTGTTTAAATGCGTACTAATGCATAATAAAATCACTGTGTTAATACTGTGTATTAATACAGAATTAATCACTTTGATTAAGTGTCATTAAATTAACTTTTTCTTCAAATTTTTCCTATTTTTAATTGAACAAATACTATTTTTTAACTTAGAAATTCCTATCTATTATTTAATAAATAATATCACAATTCTTGAATAGCACAGAATTTCGAATAAAATATTTTTTAATATTAATTTGAATATACGTCATATTAAAAAGCATTCTTTTGTCAAGAAAAGTACAAAAATTAACGCTGTGCTTTTTAAAGTTTTAAAAGTTTTATGTATTTTTACTAATGATCGAGCATTACCTAAAGTTATATTAATTTGTTTAAATGTGTCAATACATAACAAAAAATTAATCACTTTAACTCACTATCATTAAATTTACTTCAGCTTTCGAAGAAATACCTTCATTTTTAATTACTAAATAATAATATCTCCATGTACTACTTACTATTATTGAAGCTAAAATATAACGTTTGTTTCATGATTAGAGTAACTTCACTTCATTTCCACTTGAGAGATTTCCCAATTTTGCATATTTCGTTCTCTTTTAATAACTGCGCATGCGCACCTGAACAGTGTAAGCGCCAGTGCCAGGGAACGGACATGCGCAGTTGCTCCAAAACTTAATGTACTGGATAATACTTAAAATTGCGAAATCTCTCTATTGTTTGTATTATTTTACCATTTCTACTCATTTCTTTCACAGATCCCCGTTTTAGTCATCGAAGTAATTGCCATATTTCCCAGATAGCAAAATAAGGCTTATTTTCACTCAACAAAAACCTTTTAATGTAAACCTAAAAAGGTTTGTAATACAGTTTACGTATAAACCTTCTAACCTTAAAATGAGATCTGTGACAGTCTGCTCTATTCTACGCCTATTACTCTAATCCAAAGCTTTGGAAAACAACCTTCTATATAAAAAACTTAATCCGAGGTTGATTTAGGGTTTTCAAGCGTGAAAAAAATCCTTTCATAAAGCTAGCCTCAAGGTGAAAATAATCTTAAATCTAGGTAATTATAAGGTTTATTTTCGCAAAGTTTTGTATGCTCTGCTAAAATCCACCCTGTCATGAAATTTTAGGGACAATGTAATTTGATCCTGCCTCTTGTGTGACGTCAGCTAAAACATCATTATGTCAACGTCATTATGTCACTGATGCCAACAAAATACTGGTTTGTTAGCTCAAGGCCTGGTTTCTTAGAACTAGCGCCTTATCTGGGCGTCAGCGGAAAGTTGACGTAGAGCTGACGCCAAAAAAATACTTTTTTGTTAGCTCAGCGAGAGCAGTCGGTCCAATGCAGACATTATCTCTCATTGCGCATGCGTTAATAACGTAAACAAATATTTATTTTGAATTTGTATTGATTTTGTTATTGTCGACCAGTGTTTTAGAGAACAAATAATGACTTTGTCCTAGAAAAAACACATTATAGCTGAGCTAAATGAAGAGTGCTATGTTTAATGAAGAAGCTATGTTTAATGTCAAAATCAAAATCTTGGCTGATTTCAATGTGCTGTTGGATGTTGTCCGCCATTGCTTCTGTGGTAACGTTACGTTGTAATCCAACTGCAGTTGAGCTGGACGGCAATTGTAGTTCAAGATGAGCGTTCGATGGCGTATACGATCAAACTCACAAATGGACCAATCAGAGGTTAGCGCTGATTTCCAGCTGACGGCGTCCTATCCTAAGAAACTAGGCCTTAGTGACAATGCTTTTTTTAAAAAAAAGCTTCAGGAAATAAATTTTAATCCTTTTAGGAGGAAAGGTTTGAATTTGCAATATTTTTGCTTTATTGAAAAAAGGCTTTTAATACAAACATTTTCGTGATTTAAACAGGAAAAATTCACTTAAAAATTTTTATCTTAATTCTAAAAAATTACGTCATCAGGATAGAATTTTACATTAAAAAAAATTACAGGAATCCAGAAAATTTGATTTCACGTAACAAATAGCTTTTCACAGCTCATCTCCATATCTAATGTGAAAAATATTGTTTCAATGCATCCTGTCGCACGAACTTTCCCTTTCTTGGACCCTTGACAAAAATACCAGTCAGATATCGTCCATACACACAACTGGTATCCACACCTATTGCCTTAGGAGTTATCTGTAGATTTCTCGGATGATCGTGGCCAAAATAAATGTATTGTGGACCATCCCATAATGCTGCCCAACGTGACCCTTTCTTATCACCATTAAATGGCCGGTACCCACCAGGACAGTGCTTATCTTCAATACAATTCCTCATATTCATCAAATCATATGGTGTGTGATCTTCTAATGGTACCCCTGGAATCAAACCTCCATGAACAACAATAGCATTTAAGGAGGGCATAGATATCGTATAAGGTAGCTCAGCTATGAAATTCAGATCATCAGTTGTCATATTTTTTATGAACTGATCGGGTTTTTTGTACTGGTAACCTTTTATATTTTGATGCTTCAAGTATCTCTCCAATACTTTCTGATCGTTGTTGCCTCGCACAGTTAATATGAATGGAGTCTCTCTTAGAAATCTTATCACCCCTATGCTGTCTGGACCTTTTCTTAATATGTCTCCGGTTAATATCTTTAAAACATTGTCACCCGCAATATTGTTATTTGCAAGTAGAAGTTGAAGTTCAGATAGACATCCATGCACGTCACCAATGACAACAACTTCGTTAAATCTATCTAAGTACGTTGCATCCAGAAACAGGTGGGGAACCTTCGGTGGAAATGATGTTTCTTTTATTGGATGATTGCATTTATGAGCATCTATTCCCAATAGCAGCGTGAAAATGATCACTAAAAGCCATGAGACATTCGGCGGTGGCATTGGAAATAACTTGTGATTTGATCTTGGTGCAAAAGTTTATGAAAATCTCTAAAAGAAATTGAAATGAGCATTAGTATAATTTCATTATGTCTTAAACAAACCACAGCCACAATATCCTTGAATTGTTCATCTAGTAACATTTCTTACACTAACTGTAAAAATATTTTGCGCAACTCAACACTAACCTGCTTTTCCTAATGACGCAAGTAAATACAAACAATTTTTTGTCGGAGTTTTGAAACAACAAGGATCAATCGATGATGTTTGATCAAAAAAATATTTGATACTTCTGAGTATTGGAAAGTTATAAGAAATCACTATGTTGTTGACTCCAGTGATGCTTAACTCATTGTTATTTCATACCATTCCTCGAATCGAATACAGGGAATTGAGCACTCCCCTCCCAATCAAATTTCCCATGTTCGAATCCCAGTCGTGGCTGGTTGCTACAAATTCTGCTTCCGCCTCGCACCGATCACAGTGCTGACGTAAAATATCCTCAGTGGTAGACTGATCATTGGTTAGAATCCCCTTGCCGACGCCTAACAGGGTGATTTTCCTCAATATGTAACGTAAATCCTTTACGAAGGCTAATTTGTCCCAATGCTATATCCAGGAGTTCCGTTGTCTTCTGTATTGGGTTCAAAATTACAAGGCAACGGAGTTTAACATTAATAGTCAGAATTGGATCGGCTGTCTAACGCCGGTTATAAAATGAAATTCTCGGTATTGTATAAGTTTTGGTACGGTAAGAGAAAATAACATACAATGTGCAAGAAATTGATATTAGAGAGATTTTGCATTGCTTTCGTCTTACGTTAATCTAACAGTAACTTTATTTTATATCCCTTTAATTGGTTCATAAAGAAATTTATATCCATGTGCTATAAAGCCCAAGTAAGGTTACAGTTAGCGAGAAACAGTTCTCTATTTTCTAAATGCCCTCTCTCGTCACTGGGATTCAAAACCAAGTAAAACTGTCTCAAAAACAAGCACTCAATTTCCTAGTTCGTTCCATTAACGAAGCAAGATGATTTCAAAAATGAAACGTTCTAAATAGGAACACCAAAATTAAAGCTCCTATTTATCAACGTAATTTGCTAATGGTGTAAGGTGCGTGTATAAATAAATTCCGAGTGTGTAAGAATACACCCTATTGATGCTCGATACAAACAAATATATACTTATAGCACTGGAAATAAAGATCTTCAACCTTTTGCGCCATTTTTCCTATCAATAAATTCCGGAAATCCCTCGGGCCATAATATTCTAATGAATCCATTAGCAGTTGGAAGATAACAGTTTTAGCGTAGGTATTGTCGGCACATGTTCGCATTTTATTAGGAACCAAAATAAAATTTGAATATAATGAATTTATTTTATACATTTTTGTTATAAACGGAAATGCATGAAATATTGAGGTAAAACAATACATCTAAAATACTAGAGAATAAGAAAAAAAAAGTACTTACATAAAAAGGAATACTATTTCAGACTTGAGGTCAATTTTAACCTTGTTTTTTTGGCACGATTAAATCATCAGTGTCTCGTGAACTATTTGCAGATGCAATTCTTTAATCATTCATCAAATGCTGATCAACCAAACATGTTTTTTTCTCTTTTTTTATAGACTGTCTTGTGTTTTATTATTTCTGACTAAACATTTTAATAAGAATCAGCCATGGTATTTTCACTATCATTTGAAATAATCATCCTTTTTTAGCTCCTTGCATGTTTTTTATTTACTTATTCTTTTAAACTGAAGGATGTAATTTATCAAGGCACTGAAATATCATATATGGACGCTTGCATACAGTTCTCTTTTAAAGTGTAAGTGTAAGCTTGCCTCAGTGTTAATGGAAAAGGAAGAGAGCTTTTAATTAAGTTTAAAGTAGTTTCAACAGCAAATTCAAACTTGTACAGTGTGCAAAATAAAAATCACGGACCATCCTGAATAACTTTTCACCTACCGTTCGGATCTTCACATTCGAAGACTCAATCTTAAAGGTTTCTTGGGGTGACCTCAAATATGCTAATTAATTAGTACAGTCTATATTTTAAGTTACGCATTCAGGCACAAAAACGTACTCTCTCTCTCTGAATAAACATACCTTTTTTTGACGGATTCCGATTTCTGACCCACAAAATGAAGAGGCAAGCCACAATTTAGAAAATATGCCTCCATAGTTTGGTCAAGAGAGCGGCCCCAAGTTTGGACCCTTTAATGCTAATTTTATTTTTTGCATAGCTCGAGATTCTTTTTAAGTGAATTCAAACTTTTTTTGCAAGCAAATATTAAAATCGTTTATCCAAAGATAATTTAATGAGAAATAAAATATTGTAAGCATTTATTATTTTTTATTATTTTATTTAAAAGTGTCAATATATGTATTATTTTTTTTTACTTTTTATTCAAATATAATTCCGTAAAAAATATTTTTAAATTATATTCTTTATTTTTTAATATTTAGTTTACAAACATTTGAATTTGAATAGTAAGGTATAAAAAAATTTTATGCAAATTTCATCCACGTAATTTCAAATGACAAAATCCAAGACTCGAAAGGATAGCTCTAAATTATGTTTGAGAAATAAAATTTAAAGGTACATTTTCTTTGAGATGGCGAAATAAGTAAGAAGTTAAATTTACATTAAGAGAAACAAAGTTCTGATCGCTTTCCTGACTATAATATTGAGACCATACTTCCAAGATTACGGCTAATCTCCATATTTTGAGGGTAAAATATTAAAATACATTTGAAAGAAAAAGGTATGTTTATTCAGTACATTTTCGTATCTAATTTTATAAATTAAAATACCGACTGCATAAATTAATTAACATATTTAAGTTAGACCATCGACAATTAAGGTTATTTCCTAATTATCTGAAAATCCAATCATCCAACCAAAAGTTATTAAAGTATTCTCTTTTTTTCGCACTATAGAATCAGGAAAAAAAATTCCCAATGAAAAGAGGATCTCAAGATTTTACTAGTTTTTTCTTACCTTTTCTTCTAATATTTTTTTAAAGTAGTTTTTACTAAGAGAAAAAAATTCAGTAACTGGTTCAGAATATTGTCTTGCAATTTTAAAATTTTTAAACATAATATTTTCAAAATGTTAATTTTTTACGAAGTTATTGTTTAATCATGAAATTAACTAAGAGAAGATTCCATATAAACTTTCCGTATAGGTTTTTCAACATTATAATAAGGCATACAGCTCTCAGATTTTAAGGGTTTGCTACTAAGCCTATAATAAAAGTCTCATTTATACATATTACATAAACGTCTCACTGAGATATTACTATTCTTAATTGAGCTACTTCCATGAACAGTAATAAAATAAAAGTACCTTATAATAACATAAAACAAAATACTCACTTAGTACTCGATTCGAATCTAGTTCTTTAAAGGTGGCTCTGAACCAAAGTGGTTCTTATGTCACGTGTAAAATTTAAATGCATAAGTCTTACAATAAGTCAAAACTTAAATATGTATTAGGCTTAAGAAAACGTTCGATACATTGAATAGCCATTCTCGATATTATGACACTAAGATGCTGATCAAATACTTCTGTTTCCTGGAATATAAGAACGTGAGAAATGATTTGATCATATTTTTTTGATTTTTTTACAATTATTAATACTTCTTAGTATTAATAATTGTTCCAGTAGCATAATTTTCTAAGCCAGTCTGCTTCTCCATCTCAAAGAAAATGATGTAGTCAGTCTGCTGCAACATCTTCATAAATCAAAATCTATCTGAGACCCAAACGCAATCGAGTGAACACTCATATTGTAAAAATTAGGCTTACCTAAACCAAAAGAAAATTTTAATTTGCAAACAGTTGATGAAAATTAAATGCAAGAAATGAATGTTTAAATATAATTTATTGCTTAATGTACAGTTGTGTGTGTGTGTGTGTGTGTGTGTGTGTGTGTGTGTGTGCGTGCGTGCGTGCGTGCGTGCGTGCGTGCGTGCGTGCGTGCGTGATGAATGAAGATGGAACAAAATCATAGTTAAAACACAAAAATAACTAGAATATAACTAGAATATATATAACTAGAATATATATAAGAGAAAAAAATTTATATAAAGTTCAAGATTTATACAATAAATATATTAGAGCAGTGGTGGCCCAGGGGATAGAGCGCTCATACCGATGAGGAGACCCGGGTTCGAATCCCAGCGATGGCTGATCGATACATATTTCGCTCCCGGTTCACACCGACCACAATGCTGACTTAAAATATCTTCACTGGGAGGCGGGTCACCTCATCATGGATATGATTGACGGGTCATGACTGTGAGTCCCCTTGACATCAAGCTGGTCATGGGAGGTTTTCGAGGTTTTCCTCTCCATGTTACGCAAATGAAGGTTATTTCCTTCCAAATCTCCTCCTCAAAGCAAATTTTTCCAATTACTATATCCAGAAGTTCTCTTGTCTTCTGGATTCAGTTCAAAATTACAAGACTACGGAGTTGAACATTGGTAGTCGTAAACTCAAAATGGGCCTGCTATTCAATGACTGTCATAAAATAAATGTCTCTAATATATATAACTCCAAATAGAATTTTTTCAGACTATAATAGAAAAGCTTGGCTTGCCCAAATATACATATAGTGAAATTTACGTTTGTAAACATGGGATAAATAAATAAAAAATGTTCTATGCTTCCTTTTTTTTTATTTACTTTTAAACTTACTCTATAATACTTAAAAGGAAAAATGAAATGAATCTTGCTAACAGTTTATTTAAGATTTTTAAATCTGAGTTTTAAAAAAAATCTGCATAAGATGTGATAATCTGCAGCGTTCACTGCCAGTCTCAGCGGTTTCTCCTACAGAGGCTAGTTTGAAATTAAGTAAAAAATATTTATTCATTTTGCTTGATTGTATGCTAATGTAATTAATGTCCTTGGCTTTCATGTGCTGGTAACATACGTCGATAAATTTAAGCGTTTTGTTCATCCGTCAATTTACACTGTTAGAAATTTCTTGGAAAATTCTTCTTTGATTTATTATAATTGTTATTTTACCATATGCAACTGTCCCATAGTGAAACTGTTCCTAAACAGTCAGAGAGTTTAACTTTTGATGCATTTTTACAGCATCAGTGCTATTACGATAAATGAAAGCACTTTTTGCTATGAAATTGGTTGTCTCTTATCACGTGTGTCAGAATAACCAATCGAAACGATCACTGCCGACAGAAACCGTTTGCCGCCATTTTCAATTGGTCTTAAACATTCTTTGTGGTTTGGTTAGCTTGCTTTTTTTATCTAATATTTGGTAACTTTTATATTGTAATAGCAATGAGGGTTGAAAGTCTTTTAAATTTTGTGGAAACTAATGTAATTCTGTGGTTTTGAAGAAAAAATTATATTTAAGGAGCTCGAAAACTTAAAAAAGAACAGCTGTTAATTTGAAAGTTGATATAAGATGAACGTACTTACGAAAGCCAGATTTATCAATTGACAATTTTGCTGCATGTCAAGTGAGTTTTTATTTTTCGATCTTTTATGGCTAATTATGTAGAATGTAGCTCTTGTATATGTAATAAGTAGATTAAAATTTTTAACCTTCAAAATTACTATTACTTCTTTGCAAGAAAATAAATATGATTAAATTAAAAACTTGCGTAAATTTAATTACAATACTGTTTGTACGCATGTGCAGTTTTATTTGAAAATATTTTATATTTCTATTTTTCACACTTATTGATTTTATGTAATAATCACATTTGCTACTTTCCTTCAATTTCATTGTTAAAGATTTTAGCTGTATTCAGATTGCAATATCTCCAGCTGAAATTCGATTCTTATAACAGTTCGTATTTTATGACACTATATATTAGATAATACTATCTTTGATATGCAATGATAATAGAAGATATTTCTCATCGTTATATGCTTCAAAGATTTAATTTTTTATTACAATGCTTCGAAAATCAAACTATATAAGTATATATCACTTTTAATATGTAGCACTTTTATGAGTAAAAGTATGAAAGCTTCGAAATATAGCTGAAATATTCCATACTAAATTTCTTACCCCCAATTTACAGGTATTTTCATAAAATGCCGGATAAGAGAAGCAAATATTCCTAAGCAAAATTTTGTTGATATTTTTGAAAATATTTGAAAATCTGAAATTATTAATCAATTGGACTCAAACTCAAAAGTTAAGTTTTTTTATGAAACTATATAAATTGAATAGAGTTTATGTACTTAATCATTATTTAGTATGATAAAACAAAAAAATATTTAACAAAATTTCAAGAATATGTAAAATAAGAAATGAAATATATGGAAATATTAACAATGACAAAATTTAAAATACAAAAAAGAAAGGAAAAAAATAACTAGTTACTTTATTACAGATAATTTGAACTTTAGTTATACAAATATATTAAGAACAAATATTTTGACACTGATAAATATTGTGATTTTTAATGTACTACATCCAAACTTCAATTTTAAAATGTAGCACTACGCATAATGTACAGTGCACAAAAAATGTGAACACTCTAAATAACTTTTGAACAAATGATTAGATTTTCTTGTGCTAAGACTCAATCTTATTGGTTTGATGGCCTAAACTTAATAAGGCTATTTAATTAGCGCAAATAATATTTAGCTTACAAAATCAGACACAAAACGTACCTTCTCTGAATAAACATACTTTTCTTTTCTATGGATTTGGATTACGGCCTTAAAATTATTAGGTTCGCGACCTTAAAATAATTATAAGGTAATTAAGACCTTAAAATGTGGGGTGGTGGAGGTAGCCGCAATCTAGAAAATATTGTCCCGATCGTTTAGTTTGGAGAACGGTCTAAAGTTTGGACTCCTTACTGTAATTTCACTTTTATGTGTTTCGCCAGATCTCAAAAACTTTTTAAGCGTAACAAAAATTTATTGCGTATCATTGTAAAATTCGTTTGTCAAAGATAACTACGCATAAAAAAATTTATTTTCAATAGTTATTTATTATTTTTCAATATTTTATTTAATAATAGATAAAATATTTTGGATTGCGTGGTATACAAATTTTTACAACATTTTTAAGTAGTATAATTTTAAATAACAAAATGCAAAATGTGAGAAAAATTAGTTGAATAGTTCTCGAGAAATCAAAATTTAAATATTTGATTCTTTAAAATTGCAACTCAGTGAACTGTAAGATAAAAAATTAATTTAGGTGTTCACTTTTTTGTGCATTATTGATTGACAGGCAAAATATCGTACACAATATCGTATTGTTTTTTTTTCGTTAAATCATACAATAATTGAAAAGCTCAGAGGAAGAAACTTTTAAGAGACATTATTGAAAAATTAGGATTTTTTTTCTCATTAAACTCAGAAACATGTCTCCCAGATCTTTAAACTTTGAAGATCTTAGTAAATGAAGATAAAAGGTTTGAGTATTTTCGGAGTCTAAAAAGGTTCGGTAGTGAACAGTTAAAAATCATTTAATATGCAATATGAATTTGAACTAATCTTTTTTTGCTTTCCATAATATTTTGTTCAGCTGCGCAAATTTTTCTTCTTCTTTTTAACGGCAGGCACTGATCTTTTTCACCTCGGAAGAGGCCAAAAGTGTTGCACATTTAACGTTACCCAGTGGGTACCTGGTAAACCATAGTGGGCACCTGGTGAACCTTATTCATGGAGGCGAGCAACATTACCACACTGCCACAGATACCCGTTCATAGGGCGGACCACATTCACACATCACACAACAGAGAACAACACACAGAGAGGGAAACATCCATACCCTGAGCGGGATTTGAACTTGCAGCCACTAGCTTCAGAGTCAGGCTCGCTGATCGCTCGGCTACTAGGCTGGCACTGCTCGAAAGTTAGACTTAAAATTGCGATGGCGTGTAGAAAAATGTAAAAATTCGATGGAATATAAAAAAAAGTTAAGATATGTTTAAAATTAAATTATTAATTTGAAAGTTACTCTTTATTATACTTGTACTAAAAAAGAGCCATGCAAGACGATCTACAGCCCACTAAATTGCAACAACGGCGTTGAAATTTGACGCTCCTAAAAGGCCATTTTCGTTTATGAAATTAACATAGTACGATGCTGAGCCTCCTGGTTGCTTAAAAAATGTACAGTATAAGGTTTTGCATAGGATAATATATCTGGTAAACCTCTTCTATTTTCTTATACATTTCTATTTTTTATAAATATAGCTGAATGACATTCTCAACTCTTTCAATGGGGAGCATTCAAATTTAGCTTACTGTGGTTTTTTTATGGGTTGGATTGTAAAATTTAAAAATAATAAATTGCAATAACAATAAAAAAATAATAATAATATAATTGCATGATCTTAGAGACCGTTTCTTCTCTTCGTTTTCTCAAAACAAAAACTGTTGCAATCAGTGAATTAATTAGAATGGTTGTTATTTTTCAACGACGTCCTTTCTACAGAAGTTTAAGGTTAATTTCGAGAACGTTTTAAGGTGTCAAGGTAGATTTGAGGTTTAATCGAAGTTGA